TTCCGCTTCCACTTCCATAACTGCTTCCCTGAGCTTGACCGCTTCCACTTCCATAACCGCTTCCGCTTCCACTTCCACTTCCATAACTGCTTCCCTGACCGCTTCCGCTTCCACTTCCACTTCCATAACTGCTTGCGCTTCCACTTCCATAACTGCTTCCCTGAGCTTGACCGCTTCCCTGACCGCTTCCACTTCCATAACTGCTTCCGCTTCCACTTCCATAACTGCTTCCCTGAGCTTGACCGGTTCCCTGACCGCTTCCACTTCCTTGACTGCTTCCACTTCCATAACTGCTTCCCTGAGCTTGACCGGGTTCCTGACTGCTTCCGCTTCCACTTCCATAACTGCTTCCCTGAGCTTGACCGGTTCCCTGACCGATTCCACTTCCTGGACTGCTTCCACTTCCATAACTGCTTCCCTGAGCTTGACCACTTCCCTGACCGCTTCCGCTTCCATAACCGCTTCCGCTTCCACTTCCATAACTGCTTCCCTGAGCTTGACCGCTTCCCTGACCGCTTCCACTTCCTGGACTGCTTCCACTTCCATAACTGCTTCCCTGAGCTTGACCGGTTCCCTGACCGCTTCCACTTCCTTGACTGCTTCCACTTCCATAACTGCTTCCCTGAGCTTTTCCGCTTCCGCTTCCTTGACCGCTTCCGCTTCCATAACTGCTTCCGCTTCCATAACTGCTTCCGCTTCCACTTCCATAACTGCTTCCGCTTCCATAACTGCTTCCGCTTCCACTTCCATAACTGCTTCCGCTTCCATAACTGCTTCCGCTTCCACTTCCATAACTGCTTCCGCTTCCACTTCCATAACTGCTTCCGCTTCCCATTCCATAACTGATTCAGATTCCACTTCCATAACTGCTTCCGCTTCCCATTCCATAACTGATTCAGATTCCACTTCCATAACTGCTTCCGCTTCCCATTCCATAACTGATTCAGATTCCACTTCCATAACTGCTTCCGCTTCCCATTCCATAACTGATTCAGATTCCACTTCCGCTTCCATAACTGCTTCCGCTTCCATAACTGCTTCCCTGAGCTTGACCGGTTTCCTGACCACTTCCGCTTCCTTGACCGCTTCCACTTTCATAACTGCTTCCCTGAGCTTGACCGCTTCCCTGATCGCTTCCCTGAGCTTGACCACTTCCATGACCACTTCCACGATCACTTGCCTGAACACTTACATAACCATTTCCATGATCACTTGCCTGAACACTTACATGAACACTTGCGTGAACACTTCCCTGACCACTTTCCTGACCATTTCCTTGACCATGTGGTTCACTGCATGCATGGCCACAGGTGGTTGGGCAACATTTCTGTGTGTCAGGACACTGGCCATCATGGAAACAGCTTTCAGCACACGCATGAATGTTCTTCGGTTTGGGACATAGACCCGGCTTCACTGCATAGACACAGATAGTCAGCTTTAGTCTGTGCATATAGACTGTGTGCCACTTCAATATGCAGCAAGAAACACTCAAAGCACGAATAGCAAGTTTTACCTACAGAATGAATAATATTCTAAGTTTTATTCCCCTTTATTTTCTAAAGCCATCCCGCTTAAAACAGTCCTAAGGGATGAATTCAAGCCTACTTTTGATGAGAACAAAAGGCTCAAATTATTATTATTATTATTATTATTATTATTATTATTATTATTGCGCTATAGGCTGTACTATTCTGCATCAGTACAAATACGTGCACACGTTGCACGTGTTTTGCTTGCTTGAGTGTTTGTGCATTATGAGTGGCTTTGGAACATAAATCGCAGCACGTTTCAGAGGAAAAAAACGTGACTTCTATTTCTGAAAATATCACAGTTAGATTTATAGCGAGTGGTTCCCTGCATTATTACAGCAAAGCGCGTGATTACAGTACTAAGC